TGCAGCCAGGCAGGCAGGGTTCAGTGCTGATGGGGTGCAACAGCTGCGGGGTGCAAGAGAAATGGGGTGTAACAGCTGTGGGGTACAACAGAAATGGGGTGCAATAGCGGCTGAGCGCAATGCTGATAGGGGCAGCAGTTCACAGAATCAAGAGTCATCGGAGTCAGAAGGGAACTCTAGAGATCATCCAGTCCAACTCCCCCGCTAAAGCAGGATTCCCTAGAGCGCATTACTCAGGACTGCATCCTGATGGGTTTGGAGTATCTCCAGAGAAGGGGGCTCCACAACCTCCCTGGGCAGCCTGTTCCAGTGCTCCGTCACCCTCACGGTAAATAAGTTTTTTCTCATATTTAAACTGAACTTCCTCTGTTCCAGCTTGTGCCTGTTGCTTCTCATCGTGTCACTGGGAAGTACTGAAAAGAGCCTGGCTCCATCCTCCTTGCACCCACCCTTTACATACTTGTAGGCATTAATAAGGCCTCCCCTCACCCTTCTCTTCTCCAGGCTAAAGAGTCCCAGGTCTCATAGCCCTTCCTCATAAGAGAGAAGCTCCAATCCCCCAAATCATCTTCGTTTCTCTCCACTGGACTTTCTCTAGTAGTTCCCCACCCCTCTTGAACTGGGGAGCCCAGAACTGAAGACAGAGTATTCCAGATGTGGCCTTACCAGGGCAGACTGAAGGGTGAGGATGACCTCTCTCAACCTATTGGCCACACTCATCCTTATGCACCCCAGGATTCCTTTGTCCCTCTTGGCAGCAAGGGCACATTGCTTGCTCATGTATTATTTACTATCCACCAGGACTTCCAGATCCTTCTCCTCAGAACTGCTTTCCAGCAGGTCCACCTCTAAACTATATTGGTGCATGGGGTTCTTCCTCCCCACGCGCAGGACCCTACACTTGCCCTTGTTGAACCTCATTGGTTCTTCTCTGCCCAGCTCTCCGATCAGTCCAGGTGACACTGGATGGCAGCACAGCCCTCAGGAGTGCCAGCCACCCCTCCCAGTTTGGTATCATCAGCAAACTTGTCCCCTCCTCCAGCTCATTGATGAGTATCTTGAACAAGACCAGGCTAAGTATTAACCCCTGGGGGACAGGGTTACCACTGCTCACAGGCCCTCCAACTCGACCCTGCCCCACTGGTCACAACCCTCTGAGTTCTGTCACACAGCCAGCTCTCAATCCACCTCATCTCGCCCACACTTCCTGAGTTTCCTAACGAGGATGTTATGGGAGACAGTGCCAAAAGCCTTGCTGAGGCCAGGGTAGATGACATCTGCTGCTCTCTCCTCATTGAGCCAACGAGTTATGGGGTGCAGCAGCAGTGGGGTGCAACGGCCTGCAGCAGCCATGAGGTGCATTACTGACTGGGTTGAATCCTGAGAGCTTGCAACAGTTACAGGGTGCAGCAGCAGTGGGGTGCAATGGGGTGCAGCAGCAGTGGGGTGCAGTGGGGTT